GGAACGCGGGAGATCTCGGTTCGAATCCCGCTCAAAGCTCAAACAGAAGTGTGGGCAACCCGTCATGGAGGGCCTTGCGTTTGAGGCTGGAGAAATGTCGTTTTCTGCCGAACGTGGCGTTCGAGGGACCCGACGTGGACAGAATCTCGTGCCCTGAAGGCAAATCACGGAAGCTTAAACGGCAAATCAGGGGGCAGGTGAGAAAATTTCCCATTGTGACAGTCACACTCCGTGTGCCCCTAAAAGCGGGCCTCCTCTAATAACGGGTGATCTATAATGCTTCCTTTGAGCATCACCCGGGATAGTCTCCAGGAATCCTCAAGGCCCATTGGGCAGCCTCCGAGATTAGCCAGGAGGGAAGTGAGGGTGCAACGGCAAGATGGAGAGCGACACACGCCACCTTGAGCATGTTGCAAGAAATGAAAAATATAAATGCAGTTGATCAACGCAACTAATCAACGACAGAAGCTGCCAGGACAACGCCTGCCTTACCCCTAAGAGCCATCTTTGGGCCTACCAAGGCTCTCAGCCTCATGAAGGCCCTCCAGATGTTTTGAATTCCAGCTCCAATTACTCCTGGCTCTTGGCTATGCTGGCCTAGCTTCCTGTTGGCTGGGGCTTATGGGAACTGTAGTCCAAAAACATCTGCCGGGGCCCCCCAGGCTGAGACTGCCTCCTTTCTTGGTGGATTATTTCCTTCCCCCCCCAAAAAAAGAAAAAAGTCCCTGGAACAACAGAGAAGGGCCTCCAAAGTCCTTTGGAAAGGACAGAGAGGTACGTGCGCCCGACGTACGAAACCATCGGGAGGGTGGGTTTGTCGAAGAGCGATCCTCTCCGCAGATGCTTTCCTGCCTCTTCTGATTTCGAATTCTCTCCTTGCAACTGTGGGGCATCTCGGTGTTTTTTTGGCATTGAAAGGGAACCAGGAGAAGACACAGTGCTTTACAGGGGCTTAGAGGCTCTCCTCCTCTTTTAGGATTCGTTGGGCATTTGGGGAAGAAAATGGAATCGCGGAGCCCCCTGGCCTGGCCTGGTGTGACAGGAGCATCTGGCGTCGATGTTTGCAAAGGGACTCCCCCCCCTCCGGGTGGGCTGATAAGGGGGTGTTTGCCTCCTTCCGGCACATGGGTCCCAACCTAGGGAGCGGGTGAGGGACGTCCCCCAAGGACTGAACTCCAGGAGCACCCCTGTGTCCACGGGAAATTGTTTCCAAGCTCCTCCAATCCCGCAGATGCTGGAAAGTGTGGATAATAGCAAACACTATTATAACCATGAATGCTATAGACACAACATGGTCTCTGGCTCCCTCCTGTGGCTAGTTATGTTCATTCCATCATGGAAATATATATTTGGGGGATTTTTCTTTTAATATTTTCAGACTGTGGACAAGTGGTTCAGTGGATACTGATCCAGTGGATAAGGGGGTCCCGCTGTATTCCATGCACTGGGCCCCCCCCCAAACTGCCCCACAGGGGTTCCTGTGTTACTCCACTCCTCCCCTTGATAGGGAAACAAGGCAGGGAGGGCGTCCACAACAGGAGGGGTGACTTTATTCTCTTCACCCCATCAATCCTGAATGAGGGGAGGCCACTTGGGTGATCAGGGTGAGCACCAGGACCCAGATCAGACCTTGAGTGGGTCCGGTTTTGCTCCCCATACCTCGGGTGGAGTGCATACGAAGCATCGGGAGATCCGTCCACAGAAGCTCAGAGAGCCGAATGCGCCCGGTCTTAGAAGCTGAACTCTTAGTGTTCCAGAGACATGATTCAGGCAGCTTTTCATAAGGTGGGGGGGAAACAACCATACTGGCCAATCACAACACAACACCCAACTCATTTGCAAAGTACAGGAGGGGTGAATAACTCTGAAAATCGCGAGCTTTTCAGTGGGTAAGATATCATGCCTTCACCTATTTAGTTTCACCCAATGTCAACAGTGTCCCGGTTGACCAGCCGCGGCGTGAAACCGGCACGAAATCGGTGGGGAAGCCGTGATCATTTCCCGGCCCCCCGTGACCGTTACGAGGGAGCAAGGAGACCTTGATGGTTTCCCCGGCCAGGGTTTTCTCGCGTGCGCTCAAAGGTTCAAACCGCACGGCGAAGCAACACACACCGACCCAAACGCTCTGCTCTCTGAGGCTAGCTTTATTTTTCAGGTGCTGCCTGGATACAGATGCCGGGCCGTGCGCCGTACGATCCTCTGTCGCTCTCCTCCGTCCGCAACTCTCTTTTTTTGGCTCTCACGTTGATTCCACGAGATCTTCAAGGACCTCTCTCTTCCTGTGCCTGAAATATGGAAAACATAATTAGAAGGAAACCCTCAAATCATTGCTGGACCAGGGATTTTTCACCATGAGATGAGGCTCAATAACACTTGGAGGTCCACAAACGGCCTTCATATGTTTTGGGGCTGAAGCCATCCATTGGGGGTGTTATTCCATGATGAATAACTCAGGGCCACGTTAATGAAGAGGCTCAGCTTCCGTTTAGATGCGGGTAAGCAGTTTGTCCTCTAAGGATGGGAATCCTTCAGAACTCCATGCCAGAACAGCCGGACTGGTGGAATTAAGCCCATGTTTACCTCCTCCTGACCAATCACAAAACAGAGCCGGCAGGCTTGTGCTAGGACAAAGAGACCTCTTTCCCCCATTGAAGGGAGCACCGCTTCTAAACGGGAGCTCAGCGTTTTGTCTCGTGGGACACTGAACGGGGGGCACCTCCAGTCGGTTTCCCAGATCTCTCCATAGATTCAGCGGTGAATTACATCCACCTGAATCCCTGGGGGAACCACCGCCAGCCCGTCCTGGCAACGCGGTTTAAGAAGGATATTGAGAAGCAGGGACGAGGAAGACATAAAGGGACAGGAAAACTACTTTAGACAAAACTTTGATATATTAGAGGTAACTTGCAAAGCTGGGGTGGGCGCAGCGTGGGCAGGGGGGGGAGAAGGGGCCCATGCAAAGGCGTCCTTTGCAAAAGCCAGCAGCAAATACGATCCTGCAGCCTGTCCGATGTTTGGCCATTCTGCTTTTACAGAGGCTGACGGAGACACAGCATCTGGGGGTTGATTTTGGAGGGTGCATAATTGGACGGGTAACTAGCAGTGAATTAGGCCAGGCCTTTTGGTTATGGGAAATGCTAGCCTGGAATGAAATAGAAACTGAACCCTTTTTTTTTGCTCCACAGGGGAGGAGATACGCTCTTCCCCCCCCAAGCCCTGATTCCCGAACCTGAGCCTTACGTGGCCTTGGCTGAGCCCACGCCACTGGACGGCCGCCCCGCTTGCTTCCACAGCATCTCTTCCTCGATGCCCAGCGTGGCCAGGACCTGGGAGAACCGCCGCTCCACGGCCTGCCGAGCGTTGGCCTGCGGAGGGGAGAAGCTTCAGCAAAGACGGAGGCCACCGCCTGCCCGCCTGCCCTGTATAAACCCTCTCCAGGAGCAGCCCTGGCATTTTCCTTTACCTATACATGTCATATGCCAATGCTGATTTTTTAAAAATAAATAAATAAACCACATGCTGTGCCGTGAATATATAAACAATGAAGTTATCAGAATTGGCCACTTGAGAGAGCCAGAGATCATGCTGTGCATAGTCTTTACTATTATAATAGTACAATGGTGCCTCGCTTAACGAGGATAATCCGTTCCAGCAAAATCACTGTAGAGCGAAATCCTCGTTAAGCGAAATAAAAAATCCCATTGAAACGCAGTGAAAACCCATTCAGTGTGTTCCAATGGGCTGGATAACTCACCGTCCAGCAACGATCCTCCATAGGGGCGACTATTTTCAATGCCTGTAAAGCGAGGAATCCGTCCAAAAACACAGCAGGCGGCCATTTTAGAGCTGCCGATCAGTTGTTTTAAAAACGTTGTCTAGCGGGAAATGGGTTCCCGAAGCAGGGAACTGATTGTCGGGAAGCGAATTTTGCCCATTAAAACATCGTTTTGCGATTGCAAAACAGTCATCGTACAGCAGTTTCTTCATTTAACGAGGTAATCGTTAAGCAAGGCACCACTGTATTTGCTATAATTCTTGTTTTTTAAGCTCGAAACTGATCCCCCACAGATATGGGGGGGAGGAGTCTTACTGTACAGTTATATGTGAGAGCTAGTATAGTGCATAGATAAAGTGAAGGCCTGCGACTCAGGAGATCTGGGTTCAAATCCCCACTTGCCCGTAGTTTCTCAGGTGTTTAAAACCATTTAAACTCATGATTGTAACAATTGCTTCGTCGTGCGCTCAGGTATTCTGCTTTCCTAATTGGTTTGGCCCGCAATCCTGTGCCGGCCACCTTGACTCCCCTCCTAGGGAGAAAAGCATCGGAGACATACGACAGGGCATCGAATCAAAGGCCCGTGGTGTTCTCGTCGGGTCGGAAGGGGCCCGAAGAGTTATCTGGCGCTCCCGACAACGTGTCCGTCTAAGCGAAGAGGGGAGGCTGAAGGTCACGTCACCTGCATGACTCTCTCAAAGAGGTACGGCCTGCTCTCCACGCGCTCCCGCATGGCCTGCAGCTGCAGAGTGTATTCCTCCATGCGCTGCTTCTCCTGTCTCCTGCAGGGCAAAGAGGGATGTCGGGAGATGCTCCTTTTCTCCAGCCCACCCACCGCCCCTTTCGAGATCTAACCCAACGGCTTGAGTCTACACTGCCGAGGAGCCTGCCCCAGGGGTAAAGCCCATCGAGGGATCTTGGAGGCTCACCTGAGATCTTCCCGCCTTCTCTGGAGCGACGCGGACGAGCATCCCGGGGGCCGGTACGTGGCCAAGCACCTGGCCACATCCCGCTGGACTTGCTGCTCTTTGGCTCGGCGGAGTTCGGCTCGACGCTTCTCCTGCCGTTCTCGACGTTCCCATTCGGACAATAACAGCCTGACCGAAGAGGCCAAAGCCACAGTCAGCAAAGCCTCCTTCCGTGTGTGTGTGTGTCCCCCCCGGGTGCTATGCAAACCTCAGCGACGTGGGCGAACGTTGCTTCCCATCAGGGTCTCGTGTGCCACCCTGGTGAGTGTTATTATTATTTTTTGGGTGCTATGCAAACCTCAGCGACATGGGCAAACATTGCTTCCCATCAGGGTCTCATGTCCCACCCTGGTGAGTGTTATTATTATTTTTTTTCTCAACAGAATGGCAGAGAAAAAAAACTGCAAAGAAATCAAACGAATGGCCAAAAAAAAACTTCTTAAGTCTCCTGTAATGTGCGTTAAAAGCTTCCTGTTTACATGCTGTTCTTCTTTACTACCCATTAAGCGCATCTGCAGGAGTTATAATTAACAACCCCGCGTTGTTTCTCATCCCTTGTGCCGTTCCATAATTTTATGTTTACTTTTTAAATTGAAATATATGTCCTTTTGCTAGGAATGGCAACAAGAGAGGAAACGGGTTCTTAAAGTCCCTTTCGAGGGTGAGAACTGGAGTCTTTCTTTAAACTCATGCCTCCCTTCTGCGCCTTCTTTCTTATCCAGGAGAATGGCTTTCAGAGGCTGTGAACAGCCGGCAGAACCGAGGGAGAATCGCAAGAAACCCCCAGTGATTTCCGCAAGGGTGCAGGCATACACGCTTGTTTAAAAAAATATATCAAGATTTGTTTTCCTTTTTTCTCTCATTCTGATTCAGGACAAAGTTTCGGAAAACGACTTTCTGGACTACAGATCCCAGAATCCCCCCACACCCTCGCATGATTTATGGCCAAGCCGTCTGGGGGACCCAGGAAACCGAAAAAGACCCTTTCCCCCCAAAAACCTCATTTCTCAGGAAATGATCTTCCTCTACCATCCTAGGTGGGTGGTCGATAAATCTAAGCAATTCATTCCGTTCAAAGAGATATCTTTCCAAAGCCTGGAATGAGTCGAATTCCCGGCCGGAGAGGGAAGTCGTCCCCCCCCCATTACCTGTTGGCCTCTCGCCGCTTATCCGAAGTCTTGGTGTGCATCACCGGACAACTCAGAGGGGGACCAAACTCGGGGCAGGACAGAGCCCTCCAATGTGAGCGCCAAAGGCGCCGGACCTCATGAAAAGGATCTTCCCCATCCTGGCTGTTATCCTCCGTGGAAAAAGTCCGGGAGCTGCTAGCAGAGTGAAGACGGAAAGGCTTACAGATGGTCAGCTTCGCTGTAAGAGGGAAGAGATGGATTAATGGGGGATGCTGGTGTCCCCTGTGGAACGCCAAAGGAGAATCATCCTTCTCCTCTTATCCCCACCACACACCCGAGGTCATTCCAAGAAGCTTAGGACCGTGGACATTTGCATGTTTTATATCACTGATGGCACGGTCAGGGGGGCTTTTTGACTGCAGAGTCGGGGGCTAAAACATTAATTTAAAAGCCAAGAAATCATGGGCCACTGTTTTCGTCCTCCCGGCAGCATTTCGAGTTTTCAAATTCCTTTTCGTACGGAGCAGAAAGGCGGAGATCGCAGAGTAGAATAGCGACATGGTTCTTGAGACGGTCCACCCCTTTCTCAAGAACTTCCACGAATGGTCTGATCTCTAGGGAGGGAGGCATCGTCTTATGCAGGGAGACGTTGGTAGGAGGAGGAATATATTAAAAAACATTTTGCAACTGTAAGACACAAAAGGGTGCTTTTCATTCTCCTGCAAATCTCCCAGAGCGAGTCGCTGAGACCTTAACGTTCGAGTTAATAAGAAAGGGGTGGACTCTCTGGGGAACTCTGTAGCTTTTCTCCTCTGTACTTCTCCTGCGTAGGAATTTTACTAGAAATTCAAGACTCTGCAACAGTTCTTGATGCGACTACGGATGTTCCCCTCCATCTTTCTAATGTAGACGTTAACCAGGGCCCTACCTTGATCTTTCCTTTGCATCAGCTGCTCCTGGAAACGCTTCTGTAGATTCTTGAAGTTGGGGATCTTGTGGTTAATGGTGGGCTTGAACGTCGGCTCGTCTTCCGTGGCCCGGGCCCGAGTTCGGGTCTTCCTGACGTCCCTCGGCGGACCGGGCTCCTCGGGCTCCGTCGCTAGGCAGAGAAGTTCCGCTCGGAGTTTCTCCTCCAGCTGCTTGACGGAGAGGGGTTTCCCCTTCTTGGGGGCCTGATCCTCGAGGCTCAGGAGCTGTTGAGCCAGATGGAGCCACCGCCGGCGCTCCTGGCGCAGCTGGCGCTTCCGGGCCTCGGAGCGGGCCTCCACCTTCCAGTAGAGGGGCAAGAGAGCGCTCCCGGGAGTCAGCCCCCCGTGTTGGCGATGCTTCGGGGGCCTGGATCGGGAGCCCTCGGCACCCGCCGACGGCCCGGAGGCCAACGAGCTGTGGCTGTCCTTTCCGCCTGTGACCACCGGCTCTGGCGTGCTGGGGGGCTCACGGACAGAGAGGGCGGAGGTCCGAGGAGACCGCTTCTTCTTGGTCTTCTCCGGGGCTTGATCCTGATACACGCCCTGGCCTTTGACGGAGAAGCTCTCCCACATCCAGTGGAAAGGGAAAGAGCCGGGGCGTGGAGGCGTGGTGGACTCAGGAACCAGCGAAGGGCTGGGCGAGATGGCGTTGGCCTCTGGAGTGGGAGAAACCAAGCCCCTAGGGAGAAAGAGTGCTCAGTTCAGACACGCATCTGGTCTGCACCCACAACCCACTGCTTTAATATCAAGTTCCGATTTCCCAATTTGGCCTCGGTTCTAGCCCAGCGTCACTGTTTTACTCCTGCTTAGGGTTCCAACTGAGCAGCACAGTTAACACGTCATTAGAAGCGAAGCCAAAAGACAGGGGTTCGTCTGAGCGTGAGGATTCCCCAATAGTTCCTGCTACAGATTAACTTGCTTTTCTTCTGGATGTGTCATCCGGAAGGAAAAGCGAAGGAAGCTTGAACGTCACTTGAAAAGAGGGCTGCTTGGACATGGAGCTTTGAAGGAAGGATGTCTTTAGAGGGAAAATGTACTATGGCTCCCAATGACATGCCAGCACCCTCATACAGCTTGACCCTCAAGGTATTCTGCTTTAAAAGCAGTGCACAGAGTTGCAACTGGTTTACTACATCCATGGGAAAGGGCTGGTTTGCCATCAAGCGACAAACCTTCCTTGTGTAAGACGCTGTATGCCTGCATCCTACCTAATTATTTGGCCCAGTCTTGGCTACTTGGGCTAACAGTGGCTTTTCAGGGCAACCCAGACAGGGGTTCTCATGATAATGAGAATATTTGGCTGGGAGCCTTGACCTCTGCCAGCACCACCACAAGTGGGTCTGGCCATGATTAGAACCTGAAGCAGGTATGCAAATACAGGTATCTTCCCTTCCTGATCTGTTGCAAGCCATGTTTATGTAGATTGCTATTCCTAGGTTCAACTTCCCTCCTGCTTCTTCTCCTTGTTCTTCTGTTCAGCCCTAGAAAGAAGCCACTAAGTGTACGTCCGTGATGCCTGGAAGCCCCTCTGCAGTCGTGGTCACCAATTCGAGGGACTTTGCTATGAATTCCTCTTTGATCTCCCCCTGAGTGGATTTTCAGCAAAATGAAATCTACCGGCTCTCAGACTTGTTTACTATATTTTTCTGTGTATAAGACGCCCTCATGTATAAGACGCCCCCCACTTTTCTAATCCAAAATTAAGAAATCTAAGTGGAGCTTAGCAAGTGTAGGGGAAAAGGGATCTGGACATGGAGCTTTGAAGGAAGGATGTCTTTAGAGGGAAAATGTACTATGGCTCCCAATGACATGCCAGCACCCTCATACAGCTTGACCCTCAAGGTATTCTGCTTTAAAAGCAGTGCACAGAGTTGCAACTGGTTTACTACATCCATGGGAAAGGGCTGGTATTTTCTTGCCATGAATACAAGCTCGGCCTCAAGCCGGGGCTTTCTGTTGCAATAAATGCACCCCTGTTTTCTTACCATGAGTACAAGCTCGGACTCAAGCCGAGGCTTTCTGTTGCAATAAATGCACCCCTGTATCGTTTCCTGTGTCTCACCGCCCCTTCCCAAAAGAAAACTTGCCTGTTTGGGTCTGGATTGGACCCAGCCTCTGTGCCATCACCCAGGCTTGGGGCCGAATTTTGAGCCTCCAAAGAGCAGCCCTTCCTTGATGGATTGGGACCTTTCTTCCTGGTCCGTTTCATGCAGATCAGCATCCCGCCTCCTGCGTCCAGGTATTCCTCCTGAATCAGACACAGAGACCGTTGCAGCTGACGGCGGAGTCGCGGCAAAAATGGGAAAAGCAAGAACGCATGACAGCCACCAGCACAACGCTCATAAGGAACCTGGAGTCACACTCCCGAGAGGTTAGACCCCCTCCGACAGGTCGTGTGGCCTAATGGTTAGAAAGACCTTCGTCATTAAGATCTCCGGTCCCTCCTTCCTCATCCTCTGTTGCCCTTTCCTCCAAGAAACGGTCCTCTGTTGTTGTTGTTGTTGTTGTTGTTGTTGTTGTTGTTGTTGTTGTTGTTGTTGTTGTTGTC